ATTGGGACTCCTTCATTTTGTCAAACCCAAGTCCTCCTGGTCCCCATGTACTTACGGTTATTATCCTGTCTAATTAGAGACAAAGTTCTTCATAACTCACTATGAAGTTCTTTTGTAATAAAATGAAATAAGAGAAATGTTATAAAAAGGTAAATAATACAACAGTTAAAGTCATAAAGTTAAAAAGTAAAATCTTTCCTTCCTCTTTCTTTCTTCTCCATTGTCCTGTTTCCTTTCTCTCTCTCTCTCCCTCTCCCTCTTTTTCTCCCCCCACCCTCGAGTCTAGTAAGTGGTAAGACACCAAAGCTTCAGGTTCCTGCTTTATGTGTGTCTGTGGTAGAATTCATAGTATCTGTTTAGTACATTCTTGTCACCTTGTCTGTTTACTGGATTCATACAAGTATGCAACATAGAGAAGTTCCGATCCTTAGGGCTTCGTGCTTATCAGCTGAGATGCAGAGCCCCTGTTTTGGGGTGTTCGGGATTGTAAATGTATTTCCACTGTTGGCATGATGCTTTCTGTGGCTAGTTTAGGACTTTGGTTGGGATTGTGTTTTTTGGCATCTGAGTTAACCACCCTGATACTTTTACTAGGTAGGAGATGAACTTGTATCCATTCCATGCTGGCTGCTGGATAAGGCTCTGGGTGGCTTCAGACAAGTCCCAGCTGCTCATGGGGCAGGCATGCTATAGCCCAGAAACTGCAGTTACAGCTCCCCTTGGAGAGTATTTGTACCAATAAGAGTCAAGGTATTTTCTACAATGTAACAGGAATAGGTATTTTTCTTAATATGTAAATAAATTTAAGAGTGATAGTAAGTTCAGGGAGCTATAGGAAAATGTAGAAGAATCAACCCTGTGTAAAAACAAACAGGAAGAACCTTTCAACCGCCCTGTGAGAAGAATTGACAGCAAAAATAGGGAGAATATGGAGGCAGGAGGAGGTCGAGCTGTGTCCATTGTTGAACGAGGGCAGGACAATTTGTGTACTTCTCTCCTTGTGATGTAAACCTGAGCGTTCAGGACTATAGAAAAAGCAGAGACAGCTTTATCCTTCCTGTCTTCTGTCTGAACCATCAGTTAGCATAGTCCTCCTTAGCTATAACGGAGTGCTGGTACTGTGCCCGGAACAGGTAAGGAGTTCTCGTCAGTGAGAGAGCCAGTATTCTCACGGAGCGGCCAGGCTTCTTCGGTGGCTGATTTCTTCTTGGCATTTAAGATTGTGTCATTTATATCAAAAACAAAACCCAAGAGTTGAGTTCTGGTGTCTGCAGGGTAGCAATCTCCTCTCTATTACCTTCTCTTCATCTTGCCAAGAAAATTGATGGTAACATCAACTTCTGTAGATTCCGTAGATTTGTACGGAATGCATTCCACAAAAGAAGCTTCTTTAGGAATTTACTGTGACTTAAAATGGAATTATGGGATATTCTCATGCTTCCCTTAGATTCTTATTCCTTCATTGAGTTAGGAGCAAAATGCTTACTTCATCTTTGGAGGCGAGGCAAACAGCAATTCCAGATAAATATGTAGGCTGTGGATTGAAAGATAGAAAGTTTTACTCCTGGTATTGAAAGTGATTTGAACAAGTAGGAAAGGCATTTATTTACCCATCTACTTCACATTTATTTATTGTATACTTATGAAGGCCAGGCACTGTTCTAGGTGCTGGGAAGGAGAAGATAGTTGGAGGTCAGGTTCTGGTTCATCCTTTTTTTTTTTTTTCCTCCCTGTCTCCAGGAGACAGTGCTGGCTTCCTTTTTGTTTATAATTGTCAGGCATGAGTCATCCCTTCACCGTCAGTATTGCAGAATCACATTGCATTCCAGTCTCATTTGTACTGCTGGCAGGAGCTCAGCCAGCAGCTCTTGCCCGTCCTCTAGAAGTTAGGCTAGTCAGAACAGTGAGATCACCGCAGGAGTTTGTTAATTGAGGAATGGGGAAGAGAGAGCATGGTACTTGTTTTCTATCCTTTTTTTTTTTTTTTAGTACAAGAAATACTTAGGAGTGGAAAATTTCTTTCTAGGTGCTATTGTATCAGGCAGTACCTACCATTAGAAAACCTTGAATCCATTTTAAAAAATGATTTTGCAGCTCTGAGTAAATAAAGTCAGCTATGTCTTAGAAAGGGTATTGCTTCTACAAATGGACTTGAGCTTTGGCTCATGGTTCTGTTGCACAAGAAGTGGCCCTATGAGGAAAACCTGGAAATTTATTTTAGAATTTTAAGAAAATCCATCAAATAAACAAGCAAACAAAAATCTTCCTGAAATTTTTCTAAAGAACACTTATTTGGTTTGACTATTTAGGCTTTCTTCTGTAACACTCCCGTAATAAGTTTGATTGACTTATATCTTTAAAATCTGTATATTTAAGACAGCTTTGAAATTTGAAAATAAATATTTTTAGAGCATTTTCACTTATAATTCTCTACCATACTATAATTTTCAGTTCTTGGGATTTTCATCTAGTCTTTTTCTAATTATTATATACAAGTATAATGTTGGCATTTAGGTAGCTGTATGTTCAACTCTAAACTTAGAAGCTCTTACTCTTTTTTTGAATATGCCTCATGAAGTGTGGCAGTGACTTGGAACTGAAGGAGGGTTTGATTGTTTTTGTTTGTTTGTTTTAATATATTTTTATTGATTTTAGAGAGTAAGGGAGAGGGGGAGAGGGGGAGAGAGAGAGAGAGATCGAAACATCAATGATGAGAGAATCATTGATCAACTGTTTTGTGCACGCCCCCTACTGGGGATTGAGCCCACAATCTGGGCATGTGCCCTTGACTGGAATCAAACCTGGGACCCTTCAGTCCGCAGACCGATGCTCTATTCACTTAGCCAAACCGGCTAGGGCAAGGAGGGTTTGTTTTGAACCTGAGTGTGAATGTCAGACTAACCTTCCAATCAGAAAACATTCCGTGCAATTCGAGGCACAGATGAATCAGCAGATTTTTTCTTGGCCTAGGCTTGGATGGCAAACAGATGGATTTATGATGTGTTTGCTCAAATACGAATGGTGAGATGCTAAAAGCACTTTTCGCTTTAGGGGGCTCAAAGTGGCCAGCCAAGTGACACTTATGTGACCCACCTTAGAGTAAAATTTACTAGCACTTTGTTGGGGAAGGTGAGACCTTTGTGCTTTGCTGGGAATGGGAGACTTCTCTCTCTCTCTCTCTCTCTCTCTCTCTCTCTCTCTCTCACACACACACACACACACACACAGCATGAGAAACAATAAGCTGGCATTTCTTAGTCCTTTCTTACTTATCTAAAGAAGGAGATCAAAAAGGAAGAGGGCCTAGGTTTTGATTTTTAAAAATATTTAATCAGAAATACATGTTGCTGAAATAAGGTAAGGAATGAAAACAGAACATTAATCTGAAAGAAAATAAACAAATTGTGTATCTTTTAGATTTCAAATAAAGTACAATTTCAGCATCTGACAATTGTTAAGGTGACAGACTTGGGCAGATTTGTTGTTGAGTTCTTTTATAACTGTAAAATGTGCTAGAATTCAGTGGAGGATTGATTTTTGAGCTTGTGGACCCCCCTGAAGACTTCAGGAGTTGTTGTGCCTAAATGGTGATACAAGCGTGAGTCTCCTGGTCAACCCTTAGGTCTGGAATGCCAGGCACAGTAGACAATTTCAGAGCTATAGAGGAGCAGCAATGCAGTGGATGGAAATATATGCTCCGAAGTGCCTCAGGATCCTCAGGAAAGAGGTAAAACACAAAGCAGAAACTGTTGGCTAGGAAAAGAACATGTAGAAGGTTTGTTCCTAAACCAAACTCACTTTAGGGACTTGGGTATATCAGTTATGTTTGGGTTGAGTCACAGGTAAAAGACAGAAAAGCAGGAGCTAGTTTACATAAGACATAGGTTAAGTTTTTTTTCTTCACATTAAAGAAGTCTGGAGCGAGGCAGCTCAGGGCTTGTGTGGCAGCTCTGTGGTCATCAGGTTTCCAGGCGACCTATTTCTTTTCGTTTCGTCATCCTTAACTCTGGCTTCCACAGAGGTTTGCCTTACAGCTGCCGTATGACCATCGCTGTGCTGCCAGGCAAGAAGGGCAAGGCCAAAGAGCATACTTCTTGGTAGGATCATAGAATCATATCCCCTCTGAAGAGCTTTCCTGGAAGCCCCACATACTTAATTGGCCACCCCTGTCTGTAGAGGACATTGCCTTTCCAAATCTTGAGAAAAAAGGTATTTTCAAGACTCAGGTGGCTAAGATTTTTGGGATACCTGTAGACTCTCAGAATAGAACAGTAATAATGTTCGGCAAACCTGGCTTTTAGGTTGCTATTGCTTGATTGGTTCAACAATATTGAGGGCTTACTGTGTGCTAGACACTGGAGTTATAATCATGAACAAGATGGACATGGTCGCTGCCCTTAAAGAGTTTATTGGCTAATGGGAAAAATGTGTTTTCAATAAATAAATTCTAAATGTGTCGAACATTAAGAAAAGGAGAGGTAGAGAGTGCTTGGGATTATGTAATAGAAAGAATGTAAGGGTACGACATGACATACACATCAAAATTTAAAGGATGCTTGGGAGTTAGCCAGGTTAGAGATGTGGGGGTGGGGGTGTGAGAGGAGTGCAAGAAGGGGAGGCATGTTCCATCCAGGCAAACTCACTCTCAGCCTGATAATTTCCATAGTAGTTCTTTCTTCCATTATTTGTCTCATTTCTTCATCAGAGAGAATGAGTGAGAGTTTCCAAGCAACAGAGGAAGGCAGGGACTAAGTAGTATTCTTTTCATCTGAAATGGCTAAAAGTCTGCCATCTTTTCTACTTACTTGTTTTTTCACTCTCTCTAGACAAGTGCCTGCCTAGCTACAGCAGGGAGGGAGGGAGGAGGTAGATAGATGATTAGGGCATGCCGAAGTCCGATTGCCTCATTATACAGCTGGACTTTGGTCTCCCTGTGGGACTTTGGGGAGGCAAGGATTGGTTGACTCTGAAGTGCTGATATGACCCTGTTACCCTTCCAGGAAGTGGACATTGTGGTGGCACCGTGCCAAGGCCTCCGGCCCCCAGTGGATGTTCTGGGTGACTTGGTGAATGATTTTTTGCCGGTGATAACCTATGCATTCCACAAAGATGAACTCTCCGAGCGGGATGAGCAAGAGCTTCGGGAAATCCGAAAGTATTTCTCTTTTCCCATATTCTTTTTCAAAGTACCGAAGCTGGGCTCAGAGATAATCGACTCCCCCACTAGAAGAATGGAGAATGAACGATCACCACTTCATCGCCAGCTCATTGACCTGGGCTATCTGAGCATCAGTCACTGTAGCTGGGGGGCCGCTGGCCAGGACACCAAAGCTCAGAGCATGTTGGTGGAACAAAGTGAGAAGCTGAGGCACTTGAGCACATTTTCTCACCAGATGCTACAGGCTCGCCTGGTCGACGCAGCCAAGGCCCTGAACCTGGTGCACTGCTGCTGCCTTGACATCTTCATTAACCAGGCCTTTGACATGCAGCGGGACCTTCAGATTACTCCCAAACGTCTGGAATATACGCGAAAAATGGAAAATGAGTTGTATGAATCATTGATGAGTATTGCCAACCGAAAGCAGGAGGAAATGAAGGACATGATTGTTGAGACGCTTAACACCATGAAGGAGGAACTTCTGGATGAAGCTGCCAACATGGAGTTTAAAGGTAGGTCCCTGAGAGCTCGCCCGGTGGGGTGCCGGGACTACAGGGGCCTCTGCCCTTTCCAGCTGGAAATGGAGGAACTCAGGCTTGTCTCATGTACACCGCTGCCATCAGCAGGAGCCACTGTAAACATTTAGCCAAGGTGGCCTCTTGTTCTCAGAGACCTTCCTAGAAGATGCCCCTGTCATTCCTTCTCTGGACTCAGCCCACCTGTCGGTGAATCCATCCTAATAGTGCTCTGTAATTTCTAGTCTATGTCTGGGTCCCTTGACCTTAATGGAGCTGGAGAAGAGTTGCTTGAAGAATGATACTAAGTCATGCTTTCAGCCTGGCTCCTTTGGCAGAGCCTCATACTTTATTGGTCCTTTTGTGTGTGAGCCATGGTGTCCATTTTCTTCTCAGGTTGCTCTTAAAACCCAACTTAGAAGGATTTCACAAAGTAGTGTTTTCAGCTTCTCTGGTGGTCCCTTTCCTACAAATGGCTATGAATAAAGTTGGGCCAAAGTGGTTAGTCAGATCTTTTGGTTTTAGAAGCTGTTGACTTTGTATACTGACAGCTGCATAAACATTAGCTCTACTACCCATTACCATGACGTGGTTTACAAGTTACACCTGGGAGGCTTTTTGAAAATATAGATGCTCGAGACTACTAATTCACCAGAATTTCTGACATGGGACCTAGCATCTGGTGTGTGTGTGTGTGTGTGTGTGTGTGTTTCAAAAACAACCTCCCTAGGTGAATTCTAGTTATTGCCATTTTCTAGATGAGGGAACTGAAGCTCAGGTTAATTTGCTCAAGGTCACACAACTCCTCAGTGGTAGAGGCAGAATTTAAATCGATATAGTCTGATTCCTGAGCCTATACTCTGTTTCCTATGCTTTACTTCTTAATCTGTTTCTAGGTGCTGGATGCCACTGTCTTCCTGGCAACCAGCTTCAAAACCTCGGCATCGTCTTTAACTGTTTTCTTTCTCTCATCCACACATCCAGTTGGTTGCCAATTCTTGATCTGTCTTCTTCCATGTTGTACATCTACCTTTGCTTTCCTATTCCTCCTCTTTAGTCTAATGCAGCGGTTCTCAACCTGTGGGCCACGACCCGTTTGGTGGTTGAACGTCTAGACTACGTTTAGACTCCTTCGCCTAGTATTAAAGGTTTTCCCAAGCCTGGCCCTTACCAACTTTCCCAGTCTAATTTCCCACTATGCACCTTCTCTAATTTCTCTTGGGTTGCTCTCAACTGCTTGCTGTCCTCTATATGTTCCTTTTCCTTTTCCTTTGCTCATGCCCTGCTCTAAACCGGAAATGTCTTATATTGTCTGTGAATGCTACTTACCCTTCAAGCCTCTTCCAAGTAACATTTTTCATGAAGTTTCTTTACTTTTCTTAGCTATTTTATTATAGTTATTAATAATTATGTTGTTCTATTTTCTAAAATCCTAAAGGTGAAGTAGAATAGGATCTGGATCTTATATCCCCTGCAGCAAATAGCACAGTCTGTTATAGTACATCTTTGGAGAATGAATGAGTATTGAATGACGGTATATGGCTGCTAAACTTATACAGAGGATGCCTCATTTCTTACCTGTATTTCTAAAGATGAACAAAAATACCTCTTTGTTGACTTCCTACAGTGGGGAGGAGTTGCTGAGAAATGCTTACTTGCAGTGGAAATCCTAGGAAGTCTCCTGAATAATTAGAGAGACTGGAGCAGCAGTGCTGGTACCATAGAGCACATAGGGCAGCTAGGTTGGGCACTGAAATATTTGATTGCCTATTATGTGCCAGGCATATCATGTTTGGTGTCTAGGATACAATGGTTAGTTCAACAGACGTGGGAGTAACTGGGAACAAATAGATCATGTCTGGCTTTGTTAACTGCATTGTGTTTTTGTGGATCTTCTTACCTGGTTGGCTTATGTGCCTACTTCTTACGTTGTTCTAAGTCTTTTCTGGGTATTCTTGAGGCAACAATAAATAGATTTAGGAGATATCTACCACATGTTCTATGGAGCCAGATTCTTATTACTGTTTTGTTGTTGTTTTTTAATAAAGATAATGCATACACACTTAGTATCAAGACATACATACTTTATAAAATATTTGTTGCTTGAAAAGATAATACCTGTATACATGGTACTTAACTCAAAGGTGTCAAAGATACTGTCCCCCAGTTTTCTTCCATATCTTCTGCCCCTTGTTTTTACATTTACTTCATGTCTTAGAGATCTTTCCAGATATGTGCATACAAGTTTGTCTTCTTCTAATGCATCTATACCTAAATTTATTTGACTACTCCCCTACTGATGGACATTTAGTCTATTTCTTTTTCTTTTTCTTTTTTTTTTTTACTATTACAAACTACTCTGCATTGATCATTGTTGTCCATATATATCTTTGGGACTTGTAAGGGTATATTTCTAGAAAAGTAATTTCTAGAAGCACAGTTAGGTCAAAGGGTATATAGGGTTTTTTTTGTTGTTGCTGTTGTTAGTTGGTGAGCTTAGAATTTTGGTAGATGTTGCCAGATTTCCTCCAAAGAGGTGACATTAAATTTTCACCTGAAGACACAAGAATGCCTTTTTAGGAGTGGAGTTTTTGTAGGTAATTTATCTCCTCTTAACTTCTTCTGTCCTCTGGCTTGCAAAACAGCCATTGGTGGGGATAACCAATGCTCCAATTTTTATATTTATATAATTTTTTATATTTACCTAGTAATTGATTAGAATTGAATGCCTAACTCTGGGATTTTTCTCAATATGCTAGGTGGTGGGAAATATGACTTTGGAATTCATGAGCTTTGGGTTCAAATGCTGGCTGTAGTACTTTCTGCCTGGACATTTCCAATGCCCAGTTTGTCCTCTCTCTGAGGCTGTTTTCTGATCTATAAATATAACCAATAATACCCACCTGACAAAGTTATTGTGAGGATTAAATTAGACTACATATGTAAAATACTTACTATAGTGCTCTCAAAGAGTCTGCACTCAATGAATGTTCTTCCCATCTTATAAATGTGACCAAAAAGCTAACAAAATCAATAGGCTTATTCTATATACAATTGTTCCTTCTTCGGATTCTTAGCTCCTTTAAGTACTTGAGGATTACATGGTCCCTGGTCATCCTGAGGGTCCGAATTCATCAGTTGACCATTTGTTTTATAGTCACTGTCATGGTAGCTCCTTGGCTTGGGAGATGCCTTTATTCAGTGTTCCCGCCCTTTCCTGCCACCGAGCTCATTTCTCTGCCTCTGCAGATGTCATTGTTCCTGAGAATGGGGAACCAGTGGGCACCAGAGAGATCAAATGCTGCATTCGACAGATCCAGGAACTCATCATCTCCCGGCTGAATCAGGCAGTGGCTAATAAGCTGATCAGCTCGGTGGATTATCTACGTGAGAGCTTCGTTGGAACCCTAGAACGGTGTCTGCAGAGCCTAGAGAAGTCTCAGGATATCTCAGTTCACATCACCAGTAATAATCTCAAACAGGTACTCAAAGAGCGTTTAAGACACCATGTTACAGATAACACATGAAACAGAATCTACACACAAGCCCAACTTCACAGTAGCCAGCAATTTCCCTTTCAACATTTTGCTGATCCAGTTAGAATTTTGTTTTGTTTTCCTGCCTGTCGGGGGTGCTCGTGAACTGTACAATTGCAGTTAAGGCAATGAGCACGAAGGTGAAAAAAGGGGCCCAAATAGTCCCAACATAGATGATCAACTTGCATTAACTCTGCGCTTATATTGAGGGATAAGTTTGAGAACCTTGAGACCAGGCTATATTCTTGAAGTAAGTATCATTTATTGCCTTTTGTAAAAAACCACTTAGGGCATACTGATTTTCTTCTGTGTGTTCTCTTCCAGATCTTAAATGCTGCCTATCATGTGGAAGTCACGTTTCACTCAGGTTCCTCGGTGACAAGGATGCTGTGGGAGCAAATCAAACAGGTAGAGGTTGCTTAGAGAAAAAATGGTCAGCCTTTAGATGACTCGAATGAATCTTAGTCACAATATCTAGAATCTGTTAGTGTGAGGTGGCCATTTTCCCTAGTTTGCCTTCCTGGGAGAATTCTGGTTCTTGCTTATTCTGATGTAATTATTAACATTGCTACCTTGAACTCCTAAAAGTGGTGTATTTAAATTCTATTTTATGGAGCCGTAAGACTGCTTCACTAGCTTTTTCATATTTCTTTGTCCAAACCTAAATGTTTTCTCAGAACCAGGCTTTATTGCCTGAGGTCATATGTGGTTCCTTTTAAATGGATTTATTTACTAACTTCACAGAGGGATTTATCAGGTACTTCCTGGTACTGGATATAATGTATTGAGAGTTTGTGAGCACATAGACTAGGCCTACTGTTCTTTTATGCTTTCCTTTGGGCTGAGCCCTGATTTTGAAGTAGATAGAATTAGAGTGGAGTCTTAGACTTCATAGGGCTTCTGTCTTAAGGATGGATAAACCAGCCATGGCAGGGTAGCTCAGTTGGTTAGAACATCATCCTGACCCTTCAAGGTTGTGGGTTCATTTAATCTTCAGTCAGGGCACATACAAGAATCTACCAAGGAACGCACAAATAAGTGGGACAGCAAATCAGTGTTTCTCTCTCTCTCCCTCTCTTTCCCCTTTCCACCTCTCTCTTCCTCTCTCCTTCCCTCTCTCCTTCCCTCTCCCCCTTCCTCTCTAAATCAATTTAAGAAAGGAAGGAAGGCCCTAACTGGTTTGGCTCAGTGGATAGAGCGTCGGCCTGTGGACTGAAGGGTCCCCGGTTCGATTCCCGTCAGGGACAT